ATCATCAACAAAATAAAGGAAGTAACTATATGATACATGTTCAATGAAAATAAAACAAGCTCCTGACCGAATGGAACGTATAGCTCAAAGGAAACAACAAATTAAGCTTTTAGCTCAAATAACCTAAATGGTGTTGCACATCGAATATGAAAAAAATACAAATGATTGATTAAATCTAGAGTTTGTAAGATCTTTGAAAGCATGACATATGAAAAGTGAAAGTGGTCCTAAATTCCAGCCCCATTCTTCCTTTTGCCCCCGCAGACAAAAGTAGGGATGTTATCTTTCCTCTCTTCAACCCCTTGCTAGTCAAGCACACATTATGAAATAGTATGACTTCGACGCAAAGAGATATTAAATTTTGTTCTAATAACTACGGCTCTATATTCTGCAGGGCATATGGTACTCTATATTCTGCCACAGATAGAAATACGGACTGTATGTATTCTGCCATGCTCAAAACCCATACAATACACACAACTTGGAATAGCACACTCAAATATATGCTCATTGTCCATACACAAAGAAAAGCATGCCCACTGTCCACTGTCCGTTATACAATCAAATATATATGCTCTGTTATGCACCATCAGATACATTCTCACTGTCCATCCAATGAAATTATGAAACCATAGAAGAGCATGGCGAAAACCGGTTGCTATGCGCAGCAGGGCGATACCTTCGATTTTTTGAGTGGGGAAAGAGAGAGACGGCCTTGCTGCTTCTATTCGCCGGCACCGCAGTCCTCCGTGCTAACAGCAGAGGAAAGGAGAGATGCGTCAGATCTGGCATAAACAGGAGCAGGCCAGAACACGGAACAGAGAGAGATGTCGGATCGAGTTTCCCCGTGCTTGCTGCTGAGAAACGAGAAAGAGGGGAGGGGAGGGTGAGGGGGCACAGCCGCCGCACGCCGCCGCCACAGCGCCCCCGTTCCCCGCCGCCGCCGGCCACGTCCAGAGCAACCGTCGGGAAGTAGAGTGGAGGAAAGAGGGGGAGAGGAGGGGATGCGCCTACCTCGAGCTGCGAGCGCCGCCGCCTTTGTTCAACCGCTCCGATCGGGAATCGCAGACGCCGCCGCTGCTTTTCCTTTCCGTGCGAGAGGTGAGGGAGAATAGAGGCAGGGTTTTTTTTTTCGCGTGATGAGGTAAATTTCGGTTGTGTTTGGTTTGGTCTTTGGTGGCTGTCCACACGAGAAAGCCAACTTCTGTTTTTTTCTTTTCTCAAAGAAAAAACTTCTGTTGTTTTTTTAGTTCAAACTTTTGTTGGTTTCTTTTATAAAACGAAACTATCCGATTCTTGTACCATAGCAAATATAGCGGCAGGGTGCAGTTAAATCCCACCTCCGCACGGTTTGATTGTCATTGTTGGCCGAGAATCGTACCTAAGGTGGCGTATATATGTAGCAGGGTTTTTTATCAACCATACTTATGACATAAATAATGAAGGCATCACCATGCAGGTGCCCCACAAGGAAAAGTAACTACTGGCATATTCATTCGTTTATCCTCTGCAATGGAAGCAACCATCAATGAGCTCCATCAAGCAGACGGAAAAGCTAAATTTGGGTACACATGCATGCATGCATCTCTTGTCCTCCGCTCTACCTTATCCTAACTTTTACCATAGGAATCCCCGGGCACATGCTTCCAGCACAAAAGCCTCTGACACCATCCGAGCCAATATATCCTAACACCTGAGCCTACATGGCCTGCACATTGAAGTTATGCATTGATCAACCCTTACAGACTATATGTGCATACGACACGCTTACATCACTACACACATGCACTTAAACAACGTCTACTGAAGATCGGGTTGGAGTTGCAAAGTTTTTAGTTTTGCCGAAGTGACCACAGTCGTCTTGATATGGACAAAAAAGTTGCCTCACACCAAAAAAAATAATCCGCATTAATGAAACTTCAAAGCATGAAACTAGGGGTTTGATCACAGTGAGTTAGGATACAACCACCCTCCTATTATCGAACCACCGGTTAATTATCGGGAAAGTCACCTTGTGATGGGGAAGGGATACCACTCGATTGAAAGAGGAGGCAATCGCCTTTTTGGAATATTCCTTGGATATGCTGGTTGATGGAAGTCATGGACAATGGTGCAACGAGGGCAACCGCCTTGCTTATGCAAGTGATTCTGTTGTCCACAAAGAAAATTCTCCAGTATGTACATCCCTTTCTTTTACCGCTTCTCCCTCCTAACCCTATCCATCCTGATGTCGTATCTCTCATCCTACTAGCGACATCAATGGTGACTCCAACGCATGGCACTCGGCGGCAACACTAGATCAAGCATCCGTCGATCTCATACAAAGAGATTTTCTCAAAACTGATCCAGAATACCCTCCATCCGGATAAATCCCGACCAGACATCTATCTCTTCTCTCTTATCGTTGGTCGTAATGGCGAGAAGTGCTCATGGGCTACAACCTAAAGTGAATGATGGCGGCGGGCTGGTTGTTGGCCTATCCTATTGCCCTTATATCACCCAATAATAGTGGCGTAACAACAGTGAGTTGTGTGGCTCTATCCCAAGTCGATGAGCTCTCCATCGACACCTCTTTATTTGCCAAGCCAGTCTTGTCAGATGGGCCACACCGGTCAGTATTGCCTTCAAAATGTGACCATGAATCCAACAATGTCGTATGTGATGGCTGGACCTAGAAGTGGTATCGATTTGCAGAACATATATGAGAAGTGGTACTAATCTATTAACTTAGCCTCAGTTCGTGATGGTCTTATATGCAACTACTCCAACTCTTTTGCATATACTATTCATGTTTTACTCTAGAATACAAGGTACCTATCCCTGAGCTTTGCTGGTGACATATCCAGGTCGATGAGGGGAATTCGATGAAATCTCTCCACCATGATGTAATGAACATTGTGTTTTTATAGGGTCAGACCCATGAAGGTCTAGTACCAACAACACATGATTCTGGCTTCTTGAAGCAGATACACTTGAGTGATACTTAAATTCATGAGAGCCAATCCTGTAGGAATTGTATAAGGTGGCGGACCTTGTTGTGTCATCTCTCAGCATGGATGGGCCTTCTAGTTTCCTTATAACACTCCCCGAGCATCCATCTAAAAAATCTTCCTGTTCAAACCACGATAGTTCGAAGGTGACGATGCCATGATCCATGGGTATATACACGCATGATAATAGAGACCCAGAAAGCACGAGTGGCCCAAGCCCATGCCTCGGAGTCCATGAACTATTCCGGCCCATCACCGCCTTAGAGCGCAAGCCAATGAAACTACTATAATACGCAGAATAGTTTCCTTAGCTAACAATGTACTCCCAGCCTAACCATTTATTAGAACCACCTTACGATCCTTGAGATCTAAACCATTGTAAACACCAAACCCTACTTCTCATACGAGACTAGAGCAATCAATCTAGACAAGCAAGGACTATGATATTGCCTCGATCCAAGGCCATGTAGTTGGGTAAATCTCTTCTCATGTGTTATGATTGCTAAGTATATAGCCTAACAACGAGTTGGGCTCCCAAATCCAAGAGTTTGTAGCAAGCGGTAACTTTCTCTTAGTAAGAAACCAAGATATCAATCCATGGAGGCAACAATGTTCTTCTGCAAATAAGGGTAATATCTACAATAAAAATAAAACTTCACTTGTACTCCCAACATTACCAACAAGGGTGTACATGTATTCTACCATCTAATTCAAAGGGTACTGAACCTGATGGAGATGGCAAATCCATCTCGGGGGGTGTGCTTGCAATGGTGGAGAAAATTGAGGAAGGGCATCTTGTCTTAGAAGTTACTTCAGAGGTGAGGAATGGGGAGCTCAATACCCTGCAAAAAACCAGACGATATGAAAAATTTGAAGACAAAGAATGGCACAACGGAGTCGGACCCAATAAACCAGATATCAACGGCCTCCGAGGAGGCTGATCGGACGCAATGAACTTCTATTTTTGAACTGTTTCACAACGGGTAACATTGCGACAATACGATCGTTGTAGTATGACCCAATAAACCAGATATCAGCGACAAGTTAACCCCCAAGTGATCTTTTTGTTGAAAACTCACCTAGATTCTTATCCGGCTGATTGTCCAAGGAAGAGATTGAAGACGGTTTGATAATTTTGAACAAAGTGATGGTAAAGGTGGGGTTGCTATGTTTTGGAAGAGAGAAGGTAAAGTAAGCCAACTTTACTCGATCCAAATTATACTGAGAACAGAATTAAGGAGAGACCGGATACGATTTGGTGATTTACTGCTGTGTAGTTCAAGTGGTAGGACAAGCATAAAACATGGGACATAATGAAAACAAGCCAAACATAATTTACCATGGGTTATGGTACGACATTTTAATGAAATATTGTTTAACAATGAAAAGGAGGGAGGAAACTTGTGATCCAAAGGACATATGACAACATTTCGCCAAGCTATGGATGACTGTCGACTTGATGATCTGGGATATGAGGAGGACCTGTTCACATGGCAAAGAGGAATGATTCAAGAACGCCCAGACTGGGGGTATGTCCAATGCCCTATAGGCTATGGAGGCTATGATACTCAGAGGTGGCTATCGTGCATTTTAGGCTTTGGGAACTCTGATCACCAACCTCTTTTATTGGATACAAAATATCACAGAGAAGATTCAGAAAGCGTTGTTTTTAGGTTTTATAGGGCCACAGAGAGAAAAAGGAAAAAAAGATACGATCTGAAATTATATCATGGAAGTTGGGTAGCCACAGAAAGAATAAAGAAAAAAAGGAAAAAGAAAGAGAAAATAAAAAGGGAAAGCGACGCCTGAGAGATTCGAACTCTCGCGGGGAAACCCCATGTACTTAGCAGGCACACGCCTTAACCACTCGGCCAAAGCGTCACTTGATGTGTACAACATGTTCCGCACGTATCTAAACCGTTCATTTGGCTCCAAAAGGGCTGGCACGGTATATATCTAAACCCTATTCGCCCCACCCCCGAACCCCACACCACAGCCAGCAGTCAGACCATGGACGGCGGCGGCGTGCGGCCAGCGCTCCAGCCCGCGGCGGCCGGAGGAGGGGCGTCGGGCAGCCCGGACGAGCCCCGCGACGCGCGCGTGGTGCGGGAGCTCCTCCGCTCCATGGGGCTCGGCGAGGGCGAGTACGAGCCGCGCGTCGTGCACCAGTTCCTCGACCTCGCCTACCGCTACGCCGGGGACGTGCTCGGCGACGCCCAGGTCTACGCCGACCACGCCGGCAAGCCCCAGCTCGACGCCGACGACGTCCGCCTCGCCATCCAGGCCAAGGTCAACTTCTCCTTCTCCCAGCCGCCGCCCCGCGAGGTACCACCGCCACCGCCACCACAAACCCTAGCTATTCTGTATCTTCCCTAGGTTAGATTCCGATTAATTACCAGATCCTACCAACTGGTGCACCACGCGCAATAACCCTGTTACTTACCTTCAATTGGTGATTGACGAGGAGAAGGGGCCGCTTTAAACCCTAGATCAGGGGAAGTAGCGCTGTGGACTTCAATTGGGGAAATAATAGCCATAACAGAGGATGCGCAGATGTGTCGCGGAAAGAACAAAAACTGATCTGTGCTTTTGAGATTTCAGTTAATTGCTGGGTTTTGGCTGGGAGATATTTTTGGGGAAAATTTAATTTCAGATGAGGGTGGATACTGGATTAAATGAATGTGTTCCACAATAAGAACACATCAAAGCCTCAGATATGGTGGTTGGTCAGAAGCCGACATTCGTGACGCACGCAGAGATTGCGGTTTTGAGTCCTCGAGCTCACTACGAAGTGTCTTTTTGTCCACACTTGTACATGTCTGACGGACCAACATATTAGTCAATGCTATACTGAAATTATTATAAGTAAAACATAGGAGGGAATGCTGTGGGATTCGAACCCAGATTCATCTCAAGTAGTACTCTAGCACTCTACCACTTGGACCAAGATGACTCCTTACCCTTTAGGAAGCTGGAATTAAATTGGTGGGGTAACCAGGGAGTGCTGACAGTTAAATCCCTGGGTCAGCTAATCACTCGGCTGAGAAAGATTTTTTTAAAATAAAATAAAATCAAAGCTTCAGACATGGTGGTTGGTCAGAAGCCGCCATTCGTGACGCACACAGAGATTGCGGTTTTGAGTCCTCGAGCTCACTACGAAGTGTCGTTTTGTCCACACTTGTACATGTCTGACGGACCAACATATTAGTCAATGCTATACTGAAGTTATTATAAGTAAAACATAGGAGGGAATGCTGTGGGATTCGAACCCAGATTCATCTCAATTCTCAAGTAGTGGTACTCTAGCACTCTACCACTTATACCAAGATGACAACTTATCCCTTAGGAAGCTGGAATTGAATCTGGTGGGGTAGCCAGGGAGTGCCGAGATTTAAATCCCTGGGTGCAGCTAACCACTTGGCCTGAAAAAGAAATTAAAGGAAAAAAATCAATGCCTGAGAGATTCGAACTCTTGCAGCTCGAATGCACGGATACTTCAGCCGACCAGCGAATCCGTATCCGATACCGTATCCGATACCGATACTCCTCCGATACGCCCCCGATACGTATCGCTGGAGTATCGGAGAATAAATGATTTAAAACAATTACGATACTCTAAGGATACTTCGCTAATACGTTTTGGATACTTTTCCAGCCCAGGTAAGAGCCCGCTCAGCCCAGTTAAGAAGCAACCAGCAACCCTAGTGCCCCGATGCCCCCATCCTTTCCCTCACAGCGTCTTTCCTCCCTCCCATGCTCACACCAGGCGGCGGCTGTGTCGCCAGCAGCTGCTCACCCAGGTCCCAGGGCTAGCAGCAGTGGCGGCTAGCCGGCGACGAGCTCCTCCTCCTACTCACCAACGTCCCCTCTCACGCAACAGCGATGGACACTTATCTTCTCCATTTCTCCTGCCCATCCAAGCTCATCTCCTCTTCTTTCTTCTCTGATCTCTGAAGATCTATCATTCTCATCTCCTCCAGATGGCTTTGAGTGCCTACAACGTATCCGTATTGGCACTTTTTGAAAATGACGAATGTACGTATCCGTATTGGCCCGATACTGATACCCGTATCCGTATCGGTGCATTCGAACACTTGCAGGGAAACCCCATGTACTTAGTAGGCACACGCCTTAACCACTTGGCCAAAGTGTCTGTTGGTGTTATCATGACCTTCCGGAGCTACATAGTAGTATCTCTTTTGGTCCAAAAGTAGGTATGATATCTAAACCCGATTTGTTCCCCGAAACCCCATCAGCTATAGCAGATCATGCAAGCAGAGTCCAGTTGGGGCATAAGGTTGACATTCAATTTAGTTCATGTCTTGTTAGGAATGTTCAGATGAGCCCATGTCTTCTCTGGAAAGTTGAGTGTGTATTGTACTGTAGCAGCTGTCCAGCCGTTGGAATTGGAAACAAGATACTCACTTTCTTTTTTAGTTAGCTTTACTCTTTAAGATATATTATGTGTGTTATTGATAACTTTCATTGGATGTCACCCTCTTTATGGGTCAACTCAAATAATTGCATAGAAGGGAGAGCATCTGTTAGAGCCTCTAGACCGGAGAATATTCCCGTGGCCAGGAGGCATTAGAGGGCTCGCAAGGAGGCACCATAGCCAGTGCATATAAGAAAGGTAATGGCATGGCAGGGAATAGAGATGAATGCGAGCTATACTGTAAGCACTACTTACAAAACTAATGCTGCATGAAAAAACTGTCATGGTTACGGCGTAGAAATAGAGCAAACCAACACTGAAAGAATGAAGGTGTTGAAGAAGTAAAAGGCATGCCTAAATTCCAAGTAAAGAGAGGAACATGGCACAAGAAGCTTACCACCAAAGTGAGGACCAAAGATTGCTGCTGTGTAGCATGAAGCCAGGAATGCAGGCAATCTGAAGCGAGCGGCCATCCAAGGCTTTACTTATAGAAAGGGATCATTGTGAATCCGTTTCAGAGTAGAGAGAAATAAGCCACCGAGAAAAATAAATAAAAAATTGCGACGCCTGAGAGATTCGAACTCTCGCGGGGAAGCCCATGTACTTAGCAGGCACACACCTTAACCACTCGGCCAAAGCGTCTCTTGTTTCTAAATTATGTTTAACATTTACTTTCAGAGCTAAACCTGATTCTCTCCATTGGCTATGACACCTTTCCTAGTAGCCTGCCATTAGGGCCAAGACGAGTCCATTATCCTTTAGGAAGTTGGATCGACCGAACATTTGCCAGTTTGGTGGGTGACCTGGCACTGTCGAGATTTAAATCCACCCGGGTGCAGCTATAAGCAGATGATGCAAGGAGAGTCCAGTTGGGGAGAAGATTGACGAGTTAGAATTCAATTTACCCCATGTCTTGTTAGGAGTGTTCAGCTGAGCCCATGTCTTATTTGAAAAATCGACTGCTTATGCTCAAGGGTCCAAAATGTTATGAATCATGTGCAACTATTTCCATATACACAATGTAACCTTTTGAGAATCAAGCAAGAAATAAATACCCTCTTCTGTTAGTGCAGTGATGGTGCTGATACTGTGGCAGGCGTCTTACTGTTGGTCTTAAAAACAGAATACTCAGTTTCTTTATTAGGAGGCTTTACTCTTAGATATATTATGTGTATTATTGATAACTTTTGTTAGATTTGGACACTCTTCACTGGTCAAGTCAGATAATCACATAAAAGGGGTAGCAGGGCATCTGTTAGAGCCTCTAGACTGGAGGGTATGCCTGTGTCCAGGAGGCGCTCTCACGAGGTATCGGCAAGAAGGAACCAAAGCCAGTGCAGAATCAGAAAGGTGACGGGGTAGTGGGGAATAGGGATTAGGGGAAGACTCCTTTGTTGATAAATTGCATCAGTTGCCACAGCTAGGGGACCTTTATATAGGCAACTCAAGACTAGTGTCCTGGACGGGTGCAAACTCAAACTGCTGCAGAACGTGACTGCTGCTGGTTCTGTTGAAATGACTCTTTATCTTAGGGAACAAATGATCATTTCCTTTAATACAGAACTCTTACTGTAGCATATTCCAACTGAGCTGTGGCTGTTGTGGCCTGTGGGCTTCCTCCTCTGGTACGGAATTCCCCACATAACATTCCGTAATGACGGTTACCTGCCAATTCACTGCTGCACTGGTCCCCCCCACTCCCACCCCCTCCAATTCCTCGGGAACAGGGTAATCCATGGCTAGACTTTTAGGAAAACATGAAACAGACAGGGTATGATTCTTAATGTGTATGAGGCTGGCATCTCAAGATATACCTAAAATGTTGATGAATCATGTCAGGTAGTGGAAAGATATTAGAGATTGAGGGTCGTCGACAAGGGTACTCACTTGTGTGTTAGTTGCTAAGCGCAACTAAAGAAGTTCTTGCGTGTGTGTATAAAGGCTAAGGACAACTCTTTTGGTTATGCTTTGAAGTCAATAAGTGCCTGTTTTATGTTCTATCATATCCCTGGAAATTCTAAGTTGACACAAAGTACTCTATACGCATAGGTGGGCTGACAAGTCATTTTTTCTGATGTCGCAGGTTCTACTCGAGCTGGCACGCAGCCGGAACAAAATCCCGCTGCCCAAGTCCATTGCTCCACCCGGCTCCATTCCTCTGCCACCTGAACAGGACACCTTGCTGAGCCAGAACTACCAGCTCCTACCTGCATTGAAGCCGCCAACTCAGACCGAGGAAGCAGAAGATGAGGAAGAGGGCGCCAACGCAGACGGTGCCAGCCCTAACCCAAACTCCTCGCAGGATCAGAGGGGCAACGAGCAGCAGCAGCAGCAGCCTCAGAGCCAGAGCCAGGGCCAGAGGGTTTCTTTCCAGCTGAACGCCGTGGCCGCCGCAGCTGCAAAGCGTCCCCGAATGACGATTGATCAGCTGAACATGGGCTGACTGGCTGTTGTGGATGTTGGCTGGTCCCTGGTACTCTGTGTCATTGCTGTTGTAGATCGTTGGCTGGTCCCTGGGATCGCCCTTTCTGGCCATCGCCCTCCCATTTCACCATTCAGATTGTTCAAAAAAGTAATAATTCACCCATGAGAAACGCTGATGCTTCAGGAAAGGGAGCAGCGTTGCAAATAAGTGTATGTTGTAGCCGTGCACCCCAGGTTGATTAGTTTCTGTCCATTATTGTCAACTTGGTTTGTTTTGTAGATTATATTTATTTGTGGAACTTGAACTGTTCCGTTGCTGTTTCTGAATATAAAATCAGTGTTCCTATTTCCTATTTGGTGGGATGTGACACATATTTGGTGGTTAAATTGAGGACCTAAAGATATAGAGGGAGAAAAACAGAGAGAGAGAAAGCTGTAGTGTCAAATGCATATGCACTAATTTAGCTGTTTTCTTCATCAGAGTTGCCTTTCTTGTCAGGGGGAGGTGATCGGATGGGGTGACCTTGTGTGCACGCATTGCGGTGAGGTGGTAAAGGTGAATCAAAATGTAGAGAACACCAGCCCGTCTAGCTCAGTTGGTAGAGCGCAAGGCTCTTAACCTTGTGGTCGTGGGTTCGAGCCCCACGGTGGGCGTTCTGCCTCTTTTTTCCTTTTTTTTTTGTACTCTCGACGAATCGATTTCCATGCGCACTTCAGGAATTAGGGATGGACCAAGGCACTCCAGCTTATTTGGCAGCGGTACTTTATTTACAGCACCAACCTGTTGTAATCTATACACATTCTATGAACTGAGCTATGCAAGTCGTAATTTACTGCACGTAAATATATATTCACGCTAACACATTTGACATTTTGACCGTTCACCCGGGCCATCAAAGCCACGCCAACTCCAGGTCACCGAGTCCACCATGGCCGTCGCCGTTGCCGTCTTCTCCGACCACGCCCAGCCCGAGCAGCTCCTCCAGATCATTGCCCATGCCCTCAGTCCCGGGAGCACCGAAATGCTGACCACCCACGCCGCCGCCGTCGCCGCTCCACGGGCTCATCATGAAGCCCAGCTCGATGCCCTCCAGATCGAGGTCGATCGAGCCGATGGACAGGCAGTCACCCAGCTGATCCTCCTCCGCGACGTGCTCCGGCGCCGCACGGCCCTGCTCGTGAACCCCCTCTGCTGCCGCCAGCACCGTGGTGGTGCACCGCAGCGCCTTGGTCCGTATCGGGCTGCTGCTCGTGCCCTCGGGCAGGGCGTGCGCCTCGCCGCCGGCGGCTTGGCCTGTGGGTGGTTGGAGCAGCCGGCGCCGTGAGACTGCAGGTTCCTCTTGCTCAGCGTGGTGTTCCAGTAGTTCTTGATCTCATTGTCTGTTCGCCCCGGCAGCCGCCCCGCGATCAGCGACCACCTGCCCACAGGCCACGTCAACTGTTATTACATGCTGACCCTGAATTAGCAAGCACTTGCAATTGATTAGCAGTAGCGAATTCTAGCTGGCCCTGTTTAATTTACTTGCGCCTGACAAGGTTAGCTGCTGCTTTTGCATACGTGACAGTCTGACTGACAGAGTGGTTAGTTGTTGTAGCTCAGAGCCTTTTCAAGTTATGGTGTAGATTGATTAACAGTGGCTGTTGTGCCACACTGCCACATCTGGGAGGGAGTGGCATTTCGTTCTAGACCTAGCTCCATGGGAGCCTTTTCAAGTTATGGTGTAGTAGATTGTTGTTGTAGATCAGAGTGGTTGTGCATGCATGCATGCATGAATGAATGCATGTCATCATCAACTTTGCTGACCGAATAACTCGTTTACCTCTTGGGGCTAGGGACACGCACTCAGGCTGTCAGCAAGAGGTTGTTCTTTTCTTCAGGCATGGCTGAATTGGGAACATGCACGCTGACTGATATGGATAGTAGGTGTGTACAGGTGATCATGATAACTGGATCCTATATTCATTTAGCAGGCGTTGGCCTACTTTGCCTGATCATACATCTCTCTCTGTCTTCCATGTAGGGAAAAAGAGAGTGAAACTCCAACGGAAAGGTCATTAGCATGACCTTGGTGTTTATTACCAATATTTTTTGTGAAACAACTGTGACTAATTAATTAATACTCCTCCATGACCAAAGACCAACTTGTACACCTTCGTTCACACTATATATCACATTGGGAATATGCATGTAAATGCAAGTGTAACCGCAAGTAAACAACAATATACAATGCTTGATCATCTACACAAGAGAAAATGCGCATGGTACGGTGCAAATGAAAGGAAAACAACATAGATCTATGTGCACCTGTTGCCTAGGAGCCTGTGGAGCCTGACGATGAGCTCCTCTTCGTCGTCGGAGATGTTGCCTCTCTTGATCCCCGGCCGGAGGTAGTTGAGCCACCGCAGCCGGCAGCTCTTTCCGCACCGATTCAGCCCTGCACACAACGTCTCAGTAAGCACGACCATCTCGAGCTATGCTAAACCAGTGATCTCTCTCTTTTGCCGCATTCCTTGTTTCAGCCACCTGGCCGCGCGCTTCTTCAAGCATACTCACACACACACACACTCTTTGTTTCAGTTGCAATGGCTAGAAAGAGTTCGGAGGAGAGATCGGTCAACTTCAAGAAAATCGCACGCATAATAGACAAATGTATGTATTGATGTAATGTTCAGAGAAAAGCAAAGATTAGAGACGATGGTGTGTGTACTGTAACCTACCAGCTCGTTTGGGAAGGCTTCCCCACTTGCCCTCGCCGTGATCGTTGATGTAGGAGACCAGGATCTCGTCCTCCATTGCCGTCCATGCCCCTCTGTTCAGGCCCTCCTTGGCGCAGCATGGCTTCCTCCCCATATCCCCTGCCCCTCTCTCGGTGTCGGTGTGTGCATGTGTCTGACAGAGGAGCGCTCAGCTGTTCATGTGTATATGTATGACGTTCCTAGATGGGGGCCTATTTGAAGGTTAGATGAGGCTGTGTGAACGAAACCGTAGTAATTAGGTGTTAATAGAATGGTAATCAAAACTGATCAGTGGCAGGTCTGCCGGCCCTTTCTCACTGTCAGAATGATTGGGACATGCGTGCGCGCAGCTCATCTGTTGATCCCTTTTTGGTACTTTCATTATTTCTTGAAATGATGGAAAAAACCTCGGTCCATGCATTGAGTGATGCACACAACCATATATTACTAATTATTAAAAATACCGAATAAATTGGCTTTAGAGAAGAAGACGAAAATCTGAGGCCATCCACATTGGATATGCGTCGCGACAACATCGACTCTATCCACCAAACCTAACCGCAAACATAACTCCCCCCACCCCCCACCCCCCCATCACCCTTTAAGAATAATCCCCAAGGCACTCACACGGATGGATTTATTTATTAATTATTAGTTGATGT